TTATTTATTTAATTTTTTGTTTGTCACTTTCTAACATCAGCTTCGTTGCTTCCGTGTAAATGAGAATACGTGTATTGTGCTTGCATTACTGATTCCATTGTGTGCGTTTTATTACCGTAAATTTAAGGCATTCGTCGGCTGATTTACAATAAAAATACGAATTTAGTGCGTGATTTTCGTAATCAGTTGAACAATTCGAAAAGCGATCGAAAAACTAACGTATTAATTAATTATTTATACACAAAGTCTATATATAGTATACGTATAAATATAATGCTAATAGTATTATTTTTTCTTTCTTATATGGCGATAAATTGAAATCAACGCGCAGCGACACGTTCGAGAGGCTCCGATCAACTGAGCGTCAATCAAAACGCGATGCGAGTCGCTGAGCCGAAGACCCTTGCAGCGAGCGTTGGTCGAGAGCGAATGAGAGAGGCCGCAGGTAGATAGAGGCGAATCAGGAGAGACAGAGCGCAGAGAGAGAGAGAGAGACTCGACATCGGAAATTTTTACAAAACGCCCATAGCTGACTCTATAAATGCGTATTTTCTCTATGCTCTGCAGTCGATTGATAATGGTTTTTCCAAAATATTATCAGAGTTTGCTTTGAGCTCTGCTTATTCTTGTTTCTCTTTTTTTTTTCGTTACTGCCTTTAGCAATGCACTTAAAAAGCTTATTCCAGTTTCCCAAATCTATCTAGTTAATATTCATAATAACAAGTTATTTTCCATTTAGCCTCTGTTCCACATAAAACCAAACGAGTTCTTCTGAGTCAAAAGGAAAACCCCTAGTCACATTTTGATCTCCACTCATTTCTGTTTATCATAGATCTAGACATCCTGTGCGTCACTCTGTTTAGAACCCGTTCTTTCAGCCTAGTTATTTCACATTTCTGTTCGGGCTTTAGGCGAATTTTTGAGTGAAGTTAAATATTTATGATTTTTCATGTCTAATTTTTTTTTTGTTGCCCTTTCCCCAGTTCGTTTTACGCTTCACTGTTTTGATTATATTTAGACAGTTTTTTCTATTGTGTTTTTTTTTTTTCTTTTGGCGGTATTTTGTTTTTTGTTTGTACAACTTATAAACAACAAAAAACACAAATACAAGTACACAACGACAGATGCTATGCAGAGTGTGGGCTACAAAATTCTCCGAAATTTTCTGTTTTGTTTGTTTGCGGTAAGCAAAATCTGAATATATATGTATATGTATATTTTAGATATATACCTCTCGAGTTGACTAGTAAAAACCTGTGCAAAAGCAGGTAACTCTTAATGATGATCTTTGCAGCTCCACACCGAATTCCAGAACCAGGAAATATCTCAAGGCTTTCGAGTACAGCTGTACCCACACGTAAGCCAACTTTCATTGGATTCCCATTGAAATTGCAATTTAATCTTTTATTTTTTTTCATCGGCTTTGCAGTGCTACTGCTCAGCACTGATAAGTTATTAAGTGCTTGAGCATTTGTTAGCATAGGTCATTAGCTAATCAGGCAAGTAGAGCACATAAATCAAGTAAACAAGCGGCACAAAACTGAGCCACTATATAAGGCGGGAAGTGCTTAGATATTATATTTTCTTTGAATTTCACTCACAAATAATGGAATGGACTTTTTAGTTATCAGTGGAAATTGCATAGTTTCCAAATGATATACCGTTTTTAATTAACTCCCAGGCACATAAAGAGCCAGCGACGACAACAAGTGAAACAGCATCAATATAAGTAATATTGCCGGCATATGTGTGTGTGTATGTGTGTGAATTGTATCGATAATGATGTTGTACTAACCACATATATACATATGTGTACATATATATCGTATATATTTTACAGTCAACCCGTCTCTATATTTGCTGATAGGCTTGGGCATTTCCAGCTTTTGAGTGCCGCGCAATATAAACAAAACAGCTTTTGAGCGCAGAGAAACAGAGAGAGAGCAACAGTAAGAGAGGGAGAAGCGAGAGCGAGAGCGTATTCCGAGCTGAGCTTAAGCTGCAAGCGATACGTGCTCTATAAATAAAACACCTGTATGGCAGGCACACACCTTCGAACCGGTTCCGAGTAAAATATTATCGAAGATTTTGCATAAGACTCAAGCTGAAATTGTTGTTTTTGTTTAAAGTATCATTTGGTTTACTTGTATGCAACAATGTATGTGTGAATGTCTGTGTGTGTTTCTTTGTGTTTGTTCTTAAACCTAACTGTTCACTTAAGGCTACAGAGCTATTGGCCACTATTCCAGGCGGCACTTGTCATGCCCAGCTCGCTGCCGCACTTGGGCGCCCGGTCCATGCCGCAGCCGTAGAAGTGCGGCCATTTGCTAATCTCACGGTAGACATTCACGCCCGGACTCTTCGTCACTTTGGTCTGTGTGGGAGAGCGAAGGAGAGGGAGAATTTGTTGATCAATAATATGCTTAAGATATTCGAAATTTAATTTGCAGCTGCCCATTAATTATTGAAGAGAAAGAGTCTATGAGTCTTTGTGGAGCTAACTGTAGAAATTGATTTAACAACAATTTAATGGCTCTTGAATATTTGTATAAATAATCATAAGACTGAATTATATATGCACATGAATTATTCATGAAGTTACAGAGGAATTGTTAGCATTTTTTGCGCTGGAAATTTTTGAGAACTTGGATCTATATTTACATGGATATTTAATAATTGAGAAGTTAGAAGTAGAAAGTATTGAAGAAAAATGTTAGAATTTAATTA